CTACGCCGCTGTTTTGTGATAGCAAGGGAGCTCTTGGGATGGCCAGGAACGCTGTGCTTCATGGGCTCAACAAGCACATGCGTATCAAGTGGCACTGGCTGCGTAAGGAGGTGAAGAGGGGGACGGTGAATCCGATCTACATCAAGACTCACCAGCAGCCAGCAGACTTCCTCACCAAGAGGCTTGCGGATGAGCCTCATTGGCGTTGTGTGCGCATGAGTGGAATGAGCATGAACTAGTATGGAATGATAGGGATGCAGCCGGCAGGCTGAGGGGGAGTGTGTTGGGTGCAAATTCACATTGCACGACATCCTGCCGTCTGTTTGTATGAGTATGCGTGTGCGAATGCATTTGCGCGTGAATGGTATGTTCGTATGTTTGTTTGCTTTCGCAATTTTCGCTTGAAGCATTTGCAGGTACTTGCGCATTGTACGCTTCGGCATAACATTGTACGCGCTATGAACAGTACAAGCAGAAAGGACGAGCTCACAAAGGAACCCAAGATGGAAACTTTGCGGTTCGGCTTACTTGATTGCGCAGATTCAGTTCTATCCAACTCGAAATTGTACTGTTTTGTTTGGTTGACTATAGTGTAGCAGGGCAGGGACTATAGGGGTACAATTTAGGTGAAGGTTAGATGTTGTTTGTCTGTATCTGCATGCTACAGGGCCAGGGGAAACCAGCGGAACCAGCATTTGGCTGGTTGGGCAAAGACAAAACAGGTTCTGTTTTTAGGACCTGAACCTGGTTGTTGTTTTCCCAGGTTGGAAAAACAGAACCAGAGGTTGTTCACCAACCTACCACCTGCTATTTTGTCCAGCCAGGTTGGTTCCGTTGCTTGGAATTATTTGGGATCATCCCTGGTTGTTCCCAGGTTGATTCCCAAGGTCCTTGCTAGCTAGAGCTATTTATTCCTTCTCTGTTTGTACCTGAATATAGTGAAATTGATTCAAGCGAATTCCTCCCTTCCTGAAAATTCGTTTCTACGCGGTGCGAGGGCGGAATGCTACCCGAGTCAACGCTAGTACGCTAGCACTCCAACGCTAGGCTAACGCTGTCCGAGCCATAACTTCGTAATGGCAAAACTTTTCGCGAGGCAACTTGGCTTATTTTAAAGCTCTTAGAGTGAGCTTCGATATAGTAAATTCTCAGCTTAATCCGATCAACGGTCTGCACGATACGCTGCGCAACGTTCAAGGTACTCTTGCTGTTTTGACTAAGTCCCTCTTGATCCCTCTCTCTACAAACTCGGACCCGAGGATAGGGGCTGGTCTTGTACCAGGCACCCAAGGACCCTTGGAGGTGACCCCGAGGAGAGGTTTTAAGTGTGATAAAGTCTTAATAGCTTGAGTCTATCAGGCCCTTACACCAACAGTGTGTACAGGCCCGACCCCGGCTGTCGAGTGGAGGTAGCCTGGTGACGACCCGTCTGAGCACACGTGCAGTGTGTCACACGCTCGTAGGCAGGGGTGAACTGGTGAACACCCACGTCCTGGAGCGCAGAATCCGCCACCAAGTTTGTAGAGAACAAGGGGAGGTAAAGACCCGACAGTGTGCCGGACAGGACAGCGGGCGCAGTACCAGAGAGAGCAGACTCAGTAGCACCTAGAGCAGCAACCTCACCAGCACCTGGAGCAGGAGACGCACGAGCACTTAGAGCAACAGCCTCACCAGCACCTAGAGCAGCAGGCTCTATACCTGGGACAGGCGGTACGCATAGGTAACAGGCACGGTCAGCAATATTAGGCAATGCATAGATGGCAGTTAGAATAGCATCATAGTCAAGAGCAAAGATATCTAACCCATGTCCAAGCAGCTCCAGCCAGGTGGGGAGCTCAGCCTCGTCGCCAAACTTGGTACGCCAAGCGTCGCTCAAACGGGCGAAGCAGCGGGACTGGGTGTGACTAAGCGTTCCGTAAGCCTGACCAGTCCGATCACCTGTGCAAATGACGTACGGGCAGCGAACGGTACTCAAAGACCCTCTACTCTGAGCGTACCACTCACGAAGCTGCTGGGGCGTGAGAGACTCGCGCGGACGTCGCTGGAGCTGCATCTGGCCACCGCTAGTAGCAGCAGTAGCAGTAGTAGCCGCAGTAGCAGCAGTAATAGCAGTAGCAGCAGTAGCAGCAGTAGCACCAGCAGCAGCGCGGCCACCCCTACAACCCCAACTAGCGTACCACTCACGAAGCTGCTAGGGCGTGAGGGACTCACGCAGACGTCACTGGAGCTGCATCTGGCCAATGCCAGTAGCAGCAGTAGCAGTAGTAGCAGCAGCACCGCGGGCAGGGCAAGCGCGGCAGGCAGGCAGGCGGGTAGGCAGGCAGGCGCTCACCAGTGGTGGGAAGGGCCGGCGCTCGGCGGGCGGCGGCAGGGTAGGCGCACGACGGCGGCGACGGTGGGGCCGCAGCAGCAGCTGCAGAGTAGGGCCGCGGCAGCTGCAGGGTGGGGCCGCGTCAGCGGCAGGTCGGGGCCGCGTCAGCTGCAGGGCTGGCGGGGCTGCGTCGGCGTCCGGGCGGGGCAGCGTCGGCGGCAGGGCGGGGCCGCATCGGCTGCAGGGCACGGCCGTGTCAGAGGCAGGGCGCGGCCGTGTCAGAGGCAGGGCGGGGCCGCGTCAGAGGCAGGGCGGGGCCGCGTCGGCTGCAGGGCACGGCCGCGTCAGAGGCAGGGCGCGGCCGCGTCAAAGGCTCGGCGCAGCCGCGCCAGAGGTATGGCGGGGCCGTGTGATGCAGGGCGCGGCCGCGTCAGAGGCAGGGCGCGGCCGCGTCGAAGGCAGAGCGCGGCCGCGACGAAGGCAGGGCGCGGCCGCGTTAGAGGCTGGGCGCGGCCGCGTCAGAGGCAGGGCGCGGCCGCGTCGGCTGCAGGGCGCGGCCGCGTTGAAGGCAGGGCACGGCCGCGTCAGAGGCTGGGCGCGGCCGCGTCAGAGGCAGGGCGGGGCCGCGTTCTGACATGACGGGCCTGCAGGGGCGGCTCGTGGGCCTGACGGGCCTGCAGGGGCGGCTCGTGGGCCTGATGGGCCTGCAGGGGCGGCTCGTGGGCCTGACGGGCCTGTAGAGGCGCCGCGTGGGCCTTACGAGCCTGCAGGGGCGGCGCGCGGGCCATACAGGCCTGCAGGGGCGGCGCGCTGGCCTAGGGCAGCAGGAGACAGCACGAGGGCTGCAGGACGGCGCGCGCAGCGCAGCACGTCACAAGGCAGGGCAGGTAGGCAGGCAGGCAGGCACAGGTCAACACGTGGGGTAGCGCGGTAACCGCAACGGTAGGTGGGCCCGAAAAAAAACGGTCCTACGGACCTAGTGCTTTGAAACCATGTTAGAATCTAGCAGTAGGAATGACTCAACTATGAAAGAGTTGGGTACAAGTATGAAACCCTAAAAGGGGTTGTACCCCATATTGGCTACCCCACTACAGCCTACACATATATAACATGCATATACTTCGACACGCGGGCTAGGGGCAGGGCGTGGGCTATAGGTAGGGCGCGGACGGCGCAGGCAGCGCGGAGGGCAGAGCACGGATGCGCGAGCAAGGCGTGGAGGTGCGGAGGCACGAGGCGGAGGTGCGGATGCGCGAGCTAGGGCACGTGCCTGGGCGACGGGCTAGGGCGCGGGCCTGGGCGACGGGCTGGGGCGCGGGCTGGGGCGACGGGCTAGGGCGGGCGCCTGGGCGACGGGCTAGGGCGGGCGCCTGGGCGACGGGCTAGGGCGGGCGCCTGGGCGACGAGCTAGGGCGGGCATCTGGGCGACGGGCTAGGGTGGGTGTCTGGGCAACAGGCTAGGGGCGCGGAGGGCGCTAGGCGCGGAGGTCCGTGACGGCGCGGAGGTCCGTGACGGCGCGGACTAGGGGCGCGGAGGGCGCTGACGCGCGGAGGAGGAGGGCGCTAAGGCGCGGAGAGCGCGCGGGGGGCGCGGAGGCTAAGGCGCGGAGGGCGCGGAGGTGCGCTAGAGAGGGCGCGGGCTAGGAAGTAACAAGGAACTACCTACTCGTGATACCATCTCAAAGTTAGAATGGAACGGGGGAAACAAGGGATACAAATAGCAACCCTAAAAGTGTTGTAGTCCCTAGAGTGCTACTCACTGTAGCCTAAGAACCTATAACAACAATTGACAGGGGGGGGGGGGGGGGGGTAGTGTAAGAAATTTTCCTGAATTCCTTATCGGGGTTGACTGCTACGCATACAGCCCAATATTCGGACTTTGCACGTTCGGCCGACATTAACGATGCCGAGGCTCCTCGCCTTCGGCCTTTCGGTCACCAGAACCTGCACCCAACCTCGGACCCCGAGGTTCCCTCGTAGCTAGGGTAGCCACTATAGTAGCACATGCCTTCATTATATTGTTAGTTAATGAGCCACATCTTCTTTATTCCGCGCACTCTCTTTTACAACTCATAACAGCATTAGACGACTGATCATCTACTTTTACCGCGTCCTCAGGGACCAGTAGCGGTAGGGTCACAAGGAAGGGAAATACCTTCTAGCTGCTTGGTGGAACGGCGAAATGAAACGAATGAATATCGCTCGACTCGACCATGTAAATTGTTCGTTTGCGTTTTCGCACGTGCTGTGCGTCTGGAATCGTGACTGTGTTCCGCGAAATGCTCTCCGCGACCCCCCCCACCCCTCCTACATGTATCAGTGCGCACGGCTGGCGCAAAGGTGTCTTCGGGGTCCGGCGCACCCCACGACGCGCACATGAGGTGAGGAGTGCGAACTCCTCCCCCCTCCTCCTTCCCTGCGTACCCGTCCCAACCAACTTGTATACCCTTGCTCACTCGTCCTCGCATTTCACCCCCCACTGCCGCCATTCCTCCACTTGAATTGCATCACGGAGCCTCGAGTGGTTGGATCCACAGCAACCTACGACTCGCACAAGCGAACCTAGTTTCGATACACAGCCAGCTCGCCCGCCGATTTCTTCCCCACCACCCATCGCCTTCCTTCCGTCTTCCTCCATCGAAGCTGCCCGTCGCGTCGCAGTGAGTCGCGCGGCGCCCCATGAATAGTAATGTTGGAGTACCTCCGGCACCTCGTGTCCATGAAGCGGCGGCGCTACATCCGCGACGGCTACGACCTGGACCTGAGCTACATCACGGACCGCGTGGTCGCCATGTCGTACCCCGCGGAGAGCCTCGAGGCCATGTTCCGCAACCCCATGTGGCAGGTGCAGCGCTTCCTCGCCGCCAACCACGCCCACCACTTTAAGGTGCCGCTCCGCCCGCCCCGCGCCCTCCCCGTCCCCCCTTGCCCCACCTCTGCATGCTCTCCCCGGACCTTCCCCTTTTCGCCCCTCCCTTGCGCCGCCGTCTCACTTCACCGCCCACTGAAGTGCGTCCAGTGTTCTCTTTTGCGGGTTGCTCGAAATTAGCATCGCAATCCTCGTAACGCGTGCAATTCACGGCGATAATGAATACCTCCCCTGCGCGGCTGCATGCTGCGGTGTTTGCACGCCACGGCGCGGCATGGCATGGAATGGCATGGCATGCGCACGGCATGGCGTGGCGGGGCGGGGCAGGTGTACAATCTGTGTGCGGAGCAGTGGTACGACCCGTCGTACTTCGGCGGGCGCGTGGAGCGGTTTCCGTTCGACGACCACGGCGTGCCGGCGCTGGAGCTGGTGCGGGCGCTGTGCGAGAGCGCGCAGGACTGGCTGGACCGCTGCGATGACAACATCATCGTCGTGCACTGCAAGGTGCGCACCCCGCCCCGCCCCGCCTGCTCCCCCCAGCACTCCCGCCCGTGCCCCTCCCGCTCTCTCTCCCTCTCCGCCCTCCGTCCCTGCCGTGGTGCGTCCCTTTCTCGTGCTCTGTCTAGGGCGCGCGCGCCCACACCCACACGCACACTCACGGGCTCACGCACGAATGTGCCGCGCACGCGCGTGCGCGCACACACACACACGCCTGCACATACGTGCGCGCATGCACACACACACGCGCACTCGCTGTCTCCACTGGTCGCGGGCGTGGCTCTCCGTGCGTGTCGCGTGTGACTGTCCATGCCGCCGTGCGTGGCCGCTCCACTGGCGTGACGTTCAGCTCGTGACGGGTGGCGAGAACAAGCGGTGCATAACCCCACCCACCCCATGTGCGTGGCGCGCGTGTGCAGGCAGGCAAGGGCAGGACGGGCGTGATGGTGTGCTGCCTGCTGCTGCTGGCCGGCATGACCACGGACGACGCCCTCGCTCTCTACGCCGACCGCCGCACCCTCAACCGCGCCGGGGTACGCCCACTTCCTTGACACGCGCGCTCTTCACACGCTTAGGCTGAGCTGCTTGACAAAGCAGGACTGGCCATCAACTTGAACAATGTTGTTGTATCGGGCATGCTTCACCCTGCCCCTGTGCGTCTCCCTGTGCTGCGCTCTTACCTTCCCCCTTCATAATCCGTCTTGTCCCCGGCGTGACCTGCCATGCCATGTGGGGCGCGGAGAGAAGGTGACCATCCCCAGCCAGGTGCGGTACGTGCGCTACTGGGCTCGCCTCGTGGCAGACGCGCACCTCAACGCTGCGCCCATCACGCTGCCACCGCCCACGCCGCGCACCATACGGCGCGTGCGGGTGTACGGCATGACAGGGCTGGAGCGCGTGGACTTCGCCATCTACACTCTCGATGAGGTGCCGCTCTCATGCCCACCGCCTCACCATGCACTGCTCAGCTACCTTGCGTGCTCATCATGCCTCCCACGTTGCACCGTTGGGTTTCTCTGTGCAACTGCTGCTGCCTATGGGGGAATCGAGTCAATGAACAGCTGTTCGAGTCATGGCTTACTGGGCGAGTTGTCGTGCAATGCGTGTGTGTGGTGTGCGTGGCAGGCGGACAAGGAGCGGTACAGTGCGGCAGTGGAGCGGTGCAGGGGCACGTGTGAGAAGGTGCGCATGGGCGTGGTGAGCAGCACCACCGCCACCTTCGTGCACTGGCTCATCACTCGCCCTGCCCTGCGCCAAACACTCGCCCTCGACAGAAACAACTTGCTCCCGGGGACACCTGCTGCTCCTGCCCCCGCTGCTGCTGCTGCCCCTCCTGCTGCTGCTGCTGCCCCTCCTGCTGCTGCCCCTCCTGCTGCTGCCCCTCCTGCTGCTGCCCCTCCTGCTGCTGCTGCTCCTGTTGCTGCTGCTCCTGTTGCTGCTGCTCCTGTTGCTGCTGCTCCTGTTGCTGCTGCTCCTGTTGCTGCTGCTCCTGTTGCTGCTGCTCCTGTTGCTGCTGCTCCTGTTGCTGCGGCAACAGTGCCAGCAGAGGCAAGAGGAGGCGAGGTGGTGAGAGCAGGGGAGGGGCGGGGGAGGCCGGCCATGGCGCAGCTGGACACGGAGAGGCCACCCGACCCACACCACCCACCGCTCGAGCACTGCTTCGACCCGCCCTTCACTGTATGCCCCCCTGCTCACCCGCTCTACTCTGCGCCCTGTGCCATGTGCACCCCTTTTTTAAAGTCTCTCTTTTTGGGGAGCAAACTTCATTAGCAAGTACCTGATGGCCTCTGCCCCAGGCTCTCCTCTTTCTGTCCTAGACATTCGTTTCTCCACTGAATGCCGTGCGCCCCTGCGGTGGTGTGAGCAGGTGGAGGGCGATGTGAGCATGCGCTTCACGGACAAGATGGGGGCGCGCCTCTTCACCGTGTGCTTCAACACCGCCTTCACCAAGGGACTCCTCTCGGTCAGCATGCACCCCTTTCCATCTCCACCTCCCGCCACCGCTCTCCGCTCCTGCTCATGTTCCGTCGCATACGCTCTCATTACCACCCCCCCCCCCCCCCCCCCCCCCCCCTCCCCCGTCGCTCTTGTTCTCTACCCCCCTCTGCAACCTGCCTGCTGTTCTGACTCCCAACATTCTTCTCACAACCACCCATTCTCCCCTCCTCGCCCTTCTCTTCCCCTCTCCACCTGCCTCTTACCACGATCCCATCCGCACCACGCCGACCCCTCCGCCCTACACGGGAGCAGCTGTCCCTGGGCGAGGTGGACAAGCCGACGGGGCGGCTGCTGAGGGCGTGTGACAGCAGCTTCTGCATGGAGGTGCTCTTCGCACAGGACTGCTGCTCTGAGCCCCCACCCTCCCCCGCCTCTGCCCGCCCTCGCCTCACACAAGCTGGCTCGTGACCAGCGCAGCACCACCATGGCAGCAGCGCACCGCAAGGCTCTCCCATACACACTTTCCAGCTAACCAGCTTACACCTCTAACCCGCTTACGAATAATCCAAGGCAGCAGTGTCCAGGCAGCAGTAACGCTGCTGTGCCACCTTGTGAACATATGTGCCCTTCAACCCCCCACCCGTTTCCCTTCTCCTCCGCTGAATCCTCCTCCTCCTCCTCCTCCTCCTCCTCCTCCTCCTCCTCCTCCTCCTCCTCCTCCTCCTCCTCCTCCTCCTCCTCCTCCTCCTCCTCCTCCTCCTCCTCCTCCTCCTCCTCCTCCTCCTCCTCCTCCTTCTCCTCCTCCTCCTCCTCCTCATCCTCCTCCTCCTCCTCCTCCTCCTCCTCCTCCTCCTCCTCCTCCTCCTCCTCCTCCTCCTCCTCCTCCTCCTCCTCCTCCTCCTCCTCCTCCTCCTCCTCCTCCTCCTCCTCCTCTTCCTCCCCCTCATCCGCCACCGCTCTTATCGATCTCTCCAACAGCGGGCCACCTTCATGTGACTACTAACCCTGAACCACTGCTGTATTTATAAGTGAAGTATTTACCTGCCGCTACTGCACCCCATAGCATGCACCAGCAGGTTCCCCTGCAGGCATCAGTTGGCCGCGCCAACCACCCATGTGCGCCGCAGCCTGCCCCCTTGTTGGCTAACTAACCATATCCACTCTCAATTTTGTTGGATTCACCAGCTCAGCTGCATCTGTATAGTGTTGTGTTGTTTGTTGCCGCTATAAACTACTTACACATCACTCTCGACATTGCTGATTGTAATACAGTATCACTGGTTGTTTCTCACATACCGGTACCGTATCACTAGCATCAATCTCAGGGTTTTTTATCAGTCTCTGACCATCAGAGTTCCCCCCACCACTCATCCTGCCACTCTCGCCCCCCACACCACTCACCGCCTTCCCTGACCCACTTGGGCCTCTCAGACCAGACGCTGCTCCACCTGGGGCACCACCGCACCACTCTCACAACTCACCATCCACTAGCCCATGTCCCACCTCTGTCAAACTACCGTATGGCCCCAGATATAAGCGCAGGCCTATGTTAAGCGCATGCGCTTGTATCTGGAGCAATGCGCTTATGGCCGATCCTCAATTATAAGCGCACCCCTTGGGAAATCGTGACTTATTATAAGCGCACCCTTTTAGTTAAAAAAGAATATCATTTTTTTTGTACCTACCTAGCCTACATGTTCTAAACTTTCCATTAACTTAGACAATCACATACAAGGGTGGTCTCTGCTGTCATGCACTACACACCTTTCAACCTGCCTAGTCTACCCTACCGCCTATTCTTCCTCCTCGTCCGACTCAGGCTCCGTGGAGTTGTTGCCCCATAACCCATCTGCCTGGATGTCGTCGTCCACCTCCACCTCATGGGACAACTGGCTTCTCCGGTGCGCCAGCACCAGTTTGTCTTCGCTCCCATCAAGGGCGTTGCTGATGCCGCACGTGAGGAAGGCTTTCTTGATGAGGTCGGCGGGCACCGCCTTCCACGCCCGTGAAATCCACTTGAGCACCACCTCCGGAGGTGGTTTCTTGATGTTCCCTGCATCACACGGAGTGGGGCGGGGAAAACATGAGACAAGTAAACAGGCATACAAGCTCAAGATTTGCAGACGGGAGCACATGTCGTCACTCACCTGCCGGGGTCAGGATGTTCATGCCGTCCTCCTCAAACCAATTCTGGTACTGCTGACGAATGCTTGCTTTGAAGCTCTTATTGATCGACACATCGAGGGGCTGCAGATCTGCCGTGCATCCCGCCGGAATGATCGCAGGCACGATGTTGAGCGCCGCGAATCTCTCCTTGACTTCTGGTGTCAGGTGACCGCGATGGGAGTCGAGCACCAGCATGGCGCAGGGCTGACGCTATCAGAGTAAATAGTCTGATTAGTCTGACGGATCAGACCATCGAGTTTGTGAAAAATGGAATTCCAGAGAAGTCAAATTTTCATCACTGAGAGCCTCAGAGTTATTGTTTTATGGCCCCTGATTCAGTGTAATAGGCCTAAGTGTTAGTTATTTCTGGAGTCTGTCACTACAGAGTATGCGTTCTGTGGTCCCTGCATGCAAGTTTATCGGGAGGAAGCTTCCTCGAAATTGCCTTTCGATACACCCACCTCCGAGGTTCAGTAGTGAGGGTCAAACTGGTGAGTAAAACCCGTCTTGACTGGTCACAGCACCAGCGTCATTAAAAATTCGCATTGACAAAGCGAATTTGCGCCGTACGGAGCAACGAATTTGCCCAATCACAGCGAAATGGCCCTGACACAGCAGATTTGAGCTGTCAGAGCACAAAGGTCTTGACCAATCACAGTAAAATGTATCTGACATTGCACATTCGCCCTTTCACAGAACAGATTCGCCATCAAAGTTCAGTTTCGATAATGCACAGCGCGTTACTACACGTACCCTGATCGTGACTTCTCGACCCTGAACACTCAGACTGTATAACTTCCCAACACTGAGCAATCAGGGTGCTGCTTTTCTGGAAAATATGCCTTCAGGGTTAAAAAAGATTTTTTTAGGTGGACATCAGGGTACCTAAATTTGAAACGTCAGCCCTGGCATGGCGCTACGACTCTGCAGGCCGAATTTCGGCTTCAGGAACGGCACCATGCCCGTGTTGAGCCACCCGATGACGCCAGCGGCCTCCATCCACCCATTCGCTTGGCAGCCGACCACAACATCTGCACGCAAGGAAAAAGAAACGGTGGACGACTCTGGTAGTAACGGGAATAAACACGCGCGACGATCACTTACCGTTTGGGAAGTCACCCTTGGGGAGTGTCTTGCGCTTGAAAAACACCCACGGCTTCAGCTTCTCGCCCGTCGCCGTGCACGCAAGCATGACGGTCACTCTCTCCTTCTGGTACCCACCGCTGCGGATGGGCACCGACCTTACGCCCGTCTGCTCCGCGGTGGTCGTCGCCGGCATCTCCAACCACAGCGGTGTCTGGTCGGCGTTGATGATGTAGCGGTTGTCAATGTCGTATTCGTTCCAGGCGTCACGTACGTACTGCCAAAAATCCTTGCACTGCTCAGCCACGTCTGCGGAACAGGGAGATAAGTACATATAGTAAACCAAATTAGTATCACGCACAGGAGACATGCGAAAACGAAACTAAGCATAATCGGAAAAAATCAAAATCAGAGTAAACGACCCACTTACGCTCCTGTGTTTTCTGCGCCACCTTTGTTTTCATGCGCACGCTGAGGTTCCACCGCTTGCGGAACCGCTCCGTCCACCGCTGACTGCCTTTCCACTTGACGTCCGGGTAGAGAACCTTCATCACTTCTTTGGACCACTCTTGCATCCGGCCGACCGAAACCGCAACTCCGCGGCGTCGCCAGTCGAGGAGTTGCGCGTACACCTTTAACTCCATGGGGCGGTACCAAGACGCCCTCCCGCGCCCGTGAAGTCGCATCCGTGTGTGAGAATTGAAACGAGAATGAATGAACTATGAAACAGTTGGGTACAAGTACTAACCCTAATTGGGTTGTACCCCATATGGGCTATCCCACTACAGCCTACACAAAAGCATAAGCTATAATGTTCTGACACACCCCCATAGGCAAAGTGGGGGAGAACAAGCGGTCACAAGACCAGTCAAGCAAAGCAAAGCAAAGCAAGCTCAGGGTGGATCACAAAGTCACCACACATTCCGAGCACAAGTTCAAGGCCACAAGGCCAGTTCACATGTAGGAGTACATATACATATAGAAAGCTAGACAAGCAAGAGCAAGTGTATATATATGTAACAGTACAAGCAAGGTCAAGAGGTGAGTAAGTGAGGCAAGACAGGCACAAGACCAAGCTGAGTACAGAAGCGCTGATGATCACAAGGCGCAAGTGCCTTGGTGAAGATATCAGCAGTGTTGGCCTCAGAGGCCACGTACGCAAGACGTAGCTGACCACGCTGCTGCAGCTCACGAGCAAGGAATTAGCGAAGAACAATGTGCTTCGTTCTGTGCTCCAGTCTGTGCTCTCGACACAAGGCCAGCATGGCCTTGTTGTCTACGTAAAGCACTGGAGGAGAACGAGGCACCTCTCCAAAGTCAGTCAGCAGGTACGTGAGCCAGCGAAGCTCCTGTGCAGCCATGGCCCCGGCGTAGATCTCAGCCCCACAACTGGAGCCGAGAACAGAAGACGAGCGGGTAGCCCGCCACGAAACAGAGCCGGAACCAAGGCTGAAGGTGTAACCCTGTGACGACCGCTGCGTAGCCTGGTCGTCCGCCCAAGAAGCGTCTGCGTGCCCAGTGAGGACCACTGGACTCCGCCCTCCAAGCACAAGCCCCATGCCCGACGTACTGCACAAGTAGCGCAACACCCTCTTCGCTGCAGCCATGTGCTCCGGTCTGTGTCTCCCAGGAGCAACATAGCGTGCGAGAATGCTAAGAGGGTATGCAAGGTGAGGTTGAGTGCAGGTCATCAGGTACATGAGGCAGCCAACAAGCTCTGGGTACGGGCCACTCGGCTCTACGGACTCATCCGAAGGCAGAGCTGAGAGCGAGTGACGAGTAGGCAGAGGAGTGGCCTGAGGCGAGGAGTACGTGAAGCCGAAGCGCTGAAGGACCTGCTGCACCATGTGTGACTGAGTCAGGGTTATGGTGCGCTGTGCTCTGTCCTGGGTGATCTGCAAGCCAAGGTAGCTGCGCAGTTCACCCAGGTCTGTGCACGTGTGTCTCTTCTGCAGCTCGGACTTCACGTGGGCGAGTCCAGCAGTGTCAGCTGTGGCAAAGACCAAGTCGTCGACGTACACGAGGATGTAGAACGGCGGCAAAGAAGTGTCGCTGCGCAGAAACAGCGACGGGTCAGCAGTAGAGGGAGAAAACCCAAGAGCCGCAAGCGTAGTCCTCAGTGTGTCGTGCCACTCACGCGGTGCCTGGCGGAGACCGTAGACTGGCCGCCGGAGGCTCCACTGGGTGCCAGGAGGAAAAGTCTCAGTGAAGCCAAGTGGGCCGCGCAGCCAGATCTCCTCGTGCAGGCTACCCTGCAAGAAAGCAGTGCTGAAGTCAAGAGAGTGAAGCTCGTAGTCGCGCTGAGCGGCTATGTGCAGCAGCACCCGAAGAGTGGTCATCTTCGGGGTGGGAGAGAAGGTCGGAAAGTAGTCAACTCCCTGCCGCTGACTGAAGCCACGAGCCACATACCGCGCCTTGAAGACAGGCGGGGAACTGTTGGTGCAACCCTACGGTTTGCACTCGGCTTGTTGTCCGTGTGCGTGCATGTGTGTGTGTATGGAATGGTATGAGGGCATGGGATAATATATATTTCATGCTTATAATTGTGTGTGAATGTTGAGTCATGATGTCGAGTGTGTGTGTCGAGTCAATAGCGAGTTATCCCTAGACGCGTGTTACGCGGTCGTTTGTGTCTCGCGCGCGGTTTCTATTTTTGTCGTGCGCGGTTTCTATTTTGTCCTGTGTCGAACGTTTGGTGTGTCGCAGGTGTGTGCAGCAGACCCATCATGAACTCAAGGATGAGCTTGTGATGAAGAGCCCGAGCCTTGGTGTCAAGCCTCAAGTGATTTCGAAGCTCGCCAAAAGGGTGCAC